CACCCCCCCCCCCCCCCCGGATATAAACTTTTGTGTGCAGAACTTTCTTCTGCTGCTTCAGGCCAACACAGCTACCCACCAATGCCCCCTCTAAGCTGTGGAGTCCTGTGAGCAAAAATTCTGTTTTGTGAGCTACTGGCATTAAAGTTGTGAGTGAGCGATTTGGCTACTGCATCAATTAGTTTGTTCTGGAGCCCTCCTTCTTGAGCTGAGACAAAAATGTGTGAGCCAGAGGCTAAAATACTGTGAGCTGGCTCACACTAACTCAGCTTAGAGGGAACACTGCTACCCACCTGAATCGAAAAAGCAAAGGACAAGGCAGTTTCCCATCCTTGAGGACCCACCATCTATTAATAAGAAGGTTGGCACTGGGTTGACGCTGTGGAAGGTCAGTAGTTCAGCAGTTAAAGACCCGGGTGCTGCAAGATGGAGTGAGCTCCCGTCTCTCGTTCCAGCTCCTGCCAACCTAGCAGTTCGAAAGCAAGAAATTGCAAGTAGATAAATAGGCACCACTTCGGTGGGAAGGGAACACCGTTCCGTGCGCCTTGGTGTTTAGTCATGCCGGCCACATGACCACGGAAACGTCTTCGGACAGCGCTGGCTCTTCGGCTTTGAAACGGAGACGAGCACCGCAACCCTAGAGTTGGACTCGACTGGCTTTCGAGCAAGGGAAACCTTTACCTTTACCTGGCACTGGGCTATGCTAGGAGGGCAGTTCAAAACTTCTAGGCTCTGCCCTTTTGCTCCATTCATGGACCTTCCTGGGGCTTTAACCCACAGGTGCCTCCGCCCAGAGGCCCCTACCCAAGTTCCATATTCTTTGATTTCAGGAACTGACCAATTCATTCACAAGTAATTCAGATTGAGAAGTGCTCTATAGCAAATTCTGCCTTCATATTTTTTCTTCTCAATCGTGGATCTGCTCTTAAACTCAGTTTCTGAGCTCTGGCAACCGCCAGTTTGGGATGCTTTAGAGGAAGTACGTGTAATATTGCTCAGCATGAATAGCCAGTACCTCTGCTCTTCTCTTTGTATTATGATATTTTGGCTTCCCTCTCACCCCTCCCAGGAAATGTATGCCCATCTGTGTAATTGAGAGTCCTCTTTAAAAACCCTGAAGGGGAAAATAATTTATTGGTTAAGCAATTTAATATTTGTTAATGCATTTCCCATGTAAGTTTCTCAGTGGTCTTTCTGTCTTCATCACTGATCTTCATGTTTCTTTATATATATGCAGGGGTCATTTCCTGCAGGAGTGCACAGGAGCGGAGCTCCGGCAGTAAAGAGCCCAGGGGGCGGGCACATGCAACAAGCCCCACCCCTGCTCCCAGCAGCCCTCAGTCAGAGCAAGAAGCGCCAAAAAAGTTTCAAAACCCCCCCCCCCCCAGCCCCCCGGTCCAAAACAGTCCAGTGGCACCTTTAAGACCAAGTTTTATTCAGGTACAAGCTCTCCCTCCTCTGCGAGGACAGATCTGCACGTGTTCCCCCCCCATAGCTAGCAATCCAAAACAGTCCAATGGAGCCTGAGCCTTCTGACACACTTCCAGTGAAGTCAGGGGGTGTGGCATATGCAAATAAGTTATGCTGATGAGTTATGCTAATGAGCTCCTGCACCTCTTTTTCTACGAAATGACCCCTGTATATATGTAGTATGTGTCAAGCGCCATCTGGTTGCCTCCGACTTATCATGACCCTCTGAATTAATGTCCTTCAAAACATCCTCTCATTAACAACCTTGCTCAGGTTTTGCAAGCTGAGGACCACCGTTGATTTGATCTAGAACCCACTTTTGTCTTTTTGGTGGTCCTTGGCTTATGTAAACCTCTCCTCCGGCACCACGTTTCCAACGAATCAACTTTCTTCCCGTCCACTTTCTTCATTGTCCAACTGTCACACACCTACACAGTAATGGGGAATATTATGGGATGGATTCACTCAGGGCTATCTTTGGGCAGGAAGGCACAGGAACGGAGTTCTGGCTGGCTCCTGAGTTGGCCACGCCCAGCAGGAACTCATTAGCATAATAGGCCACACCCAACAGCAGGAACTCATTAGGATTGGCTACATTAGGGGTGTGTGGCCTAACATGCAAAGGTGTTCCTGCTACAAAAAAAGGCCCTGGGTTTGGACAACAAACAAGGTAAACAGAACAAGAAGCAAAAGGTGGGTGTGGCTGGATGACCACACTTCTGCGAACATGGGGGTGTGGCCTCATGTGCTAATGAGCTGTGCTCTCATGGGTGTGGCTGGATATGCTAATGAGTTTCTGTTGTTGGGTGTGGCCTATTATGCTAATGAGTTCCTGCTGGGCTTTTTCTACAA